AGTATAAGCACTTAGCCTGACGGGTACTATGTGGTGTAGTAGATTTCATAGGCAACTGCTAGGCGGGTTATGGGGGGGCACATGCCCCCCCTGACAGGGCTGTCCCCACCACTGAAGCCACTGGTGGCTTTTGCAGGTGCTTGCCAGCCCCATCTCTGCTGCCGCCACCAACATCTGCAGGTATTTGCCAGCCCTGTCCGTGCTGCTGACGCTGGCTTCTGTGGGTGCCCCCCCAGACTCAGGAGGCACCAGGTGCCCATGGCAGATTTAGCACGGGGCTGTTTCAGAAGACCAGTATCCTGATACGGACTCAATCCTGAAACCGTCCTGAGCCTCAGCCTCTTCCTCTGAGAGATGTGATACCAATATTTACTTGCACAGGGCTGCTCAACCTCTTGCTGGAGGGCCAGGTCTGGCTTATGAGGCTGTCTCTCGGCCAGAGGGGTTCCCTGCAGGTCTGAAAGTTTGGCGGCTGGGGAGCAGTGGGAGTGATAACTGCAGCTCCCCTTCTGCCAAATTCCTGGACCCACAGGTCAGATGACATGGCCCTGCACACCAGATTGCACCAACTTGCAGTAGGCCATTGTATGGCCTTGAGCTGCCGAGTGGATAGATCTAGTGGGAGGGGGCAGCTGGGTCGCACTTATGGGGCAGCCCTGCATGCCAGATCTGGCCTCATACCTCTGATGTGGCCCAAAGGGTCAGAAAGTTGAGTGTGACTCTTACTGACAAAAGTGCTGTAAAGCCTAAATAACAGGTCAGATCCTTCAGTTGGTGTAAAATGGAAGAGGTCCATGGACAACTCTGCAGCGGTGTTGATTTACGCTAGCAGAAGTTCGACATCACAAAGTTTTACATGACTGGAAACAATTAAAGGACTCATGAGATCCTTCTGGCCCTGTGCTCCACCCACTAGCCAGTCATCCTCCCTGGACCAAAAACACTCCTAGCTTTCAGTTCACATTTACAGTTCCCAGCTGCAAATTTCAGAGAAGTAACGTTGTGATTCCTTCTCCCCTTTTCAATGCAAAAATGTTTCCAGTTTCCTAACGTTTCACAAAACTACTGAACTGCTGGCACAGACTTGGAGTTTTTTTTGTCTTCCCCTGTAGTGTGGGGTATGGTCCTCTTCCTTGGATCGCTTGAGTATATTTTAAAAAACTACTTCCACCCCTCAGTGTAGCAGGATGTTGACGGTGGCCTCAACCTCAGCTTTATCTGTGGTGAGTTAAAGGATACTTGTAATGTTTCAGGTATTGTGTCGGGTCCTTGTGTGTGTCAGTTGTTTCCAAAGCTTTTAAGAACAGGTTAGACAAACACTCATTTCTGGCGGTTTTGACAGGGATGCTCCTGCCCTGACCAGGGGGTTGGACTCGATAACCTGCCAAGGTCCTTTTCAGCTCTATTTTCTCATGATAGAGATCACATCAACTGCACGGCTTAGCTACGCCTCTAACATGCATCCAGAAGGCCCTTCCTAATGGTACAATGCGGATTCAGCCACATATCTAATGGCACGAGGAATGAATTTTACATGACCAAAGCAAAAATATTGTTATGATAGGCACCACCAGATGGCACTGCTACCCATCATCTTCTAAGGGGTTTTGGGGTTGTTTTTTTGTAAGTGTGAGAAAATGTTCAATCTTTGGAAGATTGCTACAATGGTGTTAGGGTTTTTGTTCTTTTAAAATTCAAGATCAAGGGAAATGTAAGAAGAGCGGCAGAGGCTCTCAATTCTTGGCGAAGCTCTCCCCTACGTCAAACTGGAGACTCCTGAAAGAATTGCCTGCACGTTGTTTGTGAGCATTTTTGTCCCTAGGCTGGGGTCCAAGTGTCATTCCCGTCACATCTCTCGCTATTCTTTGATGAGGAGGCAGATCTGGAAAGGCCTGGATGTGCGCTAGCTCTCAGGAGGAGGGAAATGGTGCCATAACAAAATGCCCTGCCAGATAATCACATAGGAAGGAAGCTGTTTAAGAGCCGTAATGGGCTACCTCCACCTTCCTTTCCAAAATCCCCTACAAATATTCATGTTTGTGTAAACCCTAATGAGAGAAACATGTGCTTTCCTTGCAATATCTCTTTTCCCTGTCCAAACGACGGTAGTTTAAGTTGCCATAGTTACAACTGGGCTTTGGCAGACCTTTGATCGTCACGATTGTGGAATATTTGCATATGAAGAACTGAAGCCGAATCTATCAATTTTAGCCCGATGATTTTAGCCTTAGGTACTTGAATTGCTTGTTGCAGTCTGGAATACAACAGGCAAACCAGCAAAGAAAAACGATAGCTTCATGGCAGTTTGATTCTTCCTTTTAAACCAAGTTCCTTTGCCATTAGGCATTATTCTGGTTAGAAATCTTAGCTGAAAACCCCCCAAATAGTAATATTTCTACAGCCCACATAGAATAAGGGAATTTCAAATGCTTTCTAAAGAACTCTAAGCAGCTGCTGCAGCCTGCGAGCCATCACAGACCCATGAATGAAAGAGCACATGAGTGGCTGAGATTCGAACCCTCTCCCAGATTTAGGTTTTTTCCATTAGAAAATGTAGCAAACTTGCCTTCACACAGGATAGCGCAACTATTTTTCGTTACACATCGGCACTGCTAGAATACGCAGTGCCTTCCATTTGGATGCTGCCAGGTCCTCTCTGTTGATCCAAAACGTTTGTTAACTTTAACTGGGGTTTTTTTGGGGGGGAGAGAGAAAGATCCTTGTAACATTTTCATGGATTCTTGCATGAAATGCAGGGAAAACAATTAAATACGTGAGTGGAATATAAGGGGGAGGGAGCATTTGTGTGGCTGCTGGCTTTAAAAGTGGGTTGCCTATTACTTATTTTAAGGGTTAAAAGCAAGATAGCGCACTAAAGTGATTCCAGATGGGCCAATATTAATATCTTTCTTTTCCTGATGAATGAGAAGGTATGACCTAGTTAGGAAACTGCTAAAATTACAGGCGCCACAGAGGCTTCGGCTGGTGCCTACCGCACAGATATGTTATCCTTACCTCTGCAACTGTAATGCTGATGAGACGCTCGGACCTGCTGAAGGAGATGTTCCAGGGCTTCAGTGTGTCCCCTGTGCCGAGGGTCTCTTCCATCGTAGTCTTTCCAGTCTGGTGAACAAAAGAACCAAGCAGAACTAAGTGTAAAGGGACAGGAAAGGGAGTTTTAAATGGTTTTCTTGCTTCTAATAGTCCTGAGCTTCAGAAGACATTTGCATGTCTGCAGGCAGGCAGAAACAGCAGCTGCTTTTAAGTCTGTTGCTGCCGCTTACACGATAACCTTCCTCTGCAAACCAGATGATAATATTAATATATAGGTAGGTACCTGTTCAAATCTGATCAGCTCCCAGGAGCTCCTGTTGTGACAGCTGGACAACGTCTGTCACATCTCCTATACGGCTCCCATTACTCTGGTCGGTGCTTCTCAGTCATTAATATAGTCACCCTCCCAATGCCCTGGTGAGGTAGGGAAGTGCTTTTATCTCCCTTTTACAGTGCAGGGACGGAGGCACACAGAGGATAAATAATGTTATCACAGTCATGCAGGAAAACGATTGCAGAGAGGAGAGTTGAACCTTGGTTCCCCACAGCTGAGTCCCGTCTCTGTGGGACCATTCATACCAGTTTGGTCCATGCATGGTGGGGAACCCCTGAACTGCCACCCGTGGCACTGACTGTGCCAGGCACCGTCCTGTAAGACAAGGAGCCAGAGTTTCTCCCCCAAACACCTTCAATCTGAAAAAAAAGGCTTTGCTTGCATGCTCTGGCTGGTTTCTGGCTATGTTCTCAGTCTTAATAAAACCTGCTAGCACAAGCTGCTTAAGTCTTCTTGTGCTCTCAGCCCAGATCAGCCAGGCTGCTGAGTTTGCAGCACACAGGAGATTCGCGCTTTCAAATGACATCGTTTCAGAAGTTGTTTTCACTTTTTAGAAAGCAAAAGAAATAATAAGCTCTCCCCATCTCCCCCATGAAGCACACCCTCCTGCCGCTCCTCTGTTGGCACGGGGGCACGTACAGATTCAGAGCCACCAACAGACTGTTTGCTCACTCGCTAAATATACAGGGCTCATTTATGGGGCAAGCCCAGTCCAAGGGCCTTCCTATGCCAGCAGGTATAAAGATGCCTTTTTCTTCCTTGTATTATGCTTGCTACAATGATAACAAGCCCCATGCCAGGATGGTTTTAATGGCCAGGTGATACTGCTACAGCGCTCAAGGCCCAGAAGGCCTATCCCTCAGGGTATGTACCGTGGTGGATGTCAACAGCAGCACAGCATCTGTCCTACACTGAGAAGTCAATTATCAGCATGGTCCACCGGGGGCAAGCTATGCAGGGATGGATGAGGAGTGCAGCATGGATTAGCTGGACAAAGCATACCAAGCTTGGTCTGGCCCTGCAAGGCACATCTACTGGCCAAGGATTGCCAGAGCACAGCAGTCTTCTGTGTATCCCGCTTCTCCTTTTATTCCCCCAGAACAAGAATAAGGACATTCACTCCTGAGTGTCTGGGTGCATGGGGCGGGGTGCATTGTGTCCAGCACTCATTGAGCCTCCATGCAAGAAGGACCTCCAGTTGGGAGGACTCACTGAATCTATGGCTGCTCAGTGCCAGAGTGGCATTCAGGATTGGGCCCTGGATCTATAAATCTGCTAATCATTGGTGATGCGTAGGGCATGCACACAGGTGCACGTGCACCCCCCAAGATTGGCCGCGCAGCCCCTGGAAGCGCCACCCCAAAACCAGAAGTGCACCTCCGGTTTCACCGCTGGCTCGGCAATCGGCTGCTGGGGGACCCTCCCCCCCGCTGGCGGTCTGGTGTCCCCCAGATTTGGGAGGCACCAGTCGCCCATGCTGCTAATATATTCTTCTAGCCATCATTATAAATGGTTTTATGGCACGTGAAGTATTTTAAATGCAACTGACAGCAGAGGGCCAAATTCTGCTCTTTTATACCTGAGCAGTCTTGGAGTTGCACAGCTCTTGCCAAGAGCAGAGTCTGTGAGTTACTTTTATAACCCAAAGTGAAGGCAGCCGCCCTGGACGAGGCTTTTCCCGCAGGAATAAGTTCTGCAGACAGCAGATGCCCAGTAACAGAGCAAATAGCCTGTGGCATTTCAAGCTGAAGTTCTGATGTTAATGCTGCCTAAAAAAAGAATTTAAATTCAGGCTGTAAGGGTCTTGCTCACTGAAAAGCTTAAGTATGTGTCACTAAGGATACTTAATGAAAATACCGCAGACTTGCCAGCTATATGCAGCGATCTGGACTTGCTTAATGCTACCATGCTCGCTGATGAAGAAAACATACATATATGGCCATGTTGAAATACTGCTCTTTGCCACACAGAGACCCAACATAAATTCCCATGTGTGCACAGCTACTACTGTTCTCGCGTGCATCACTGCAAAGGCTTGGCTTGCCTCATAAAAGTAGCCCTGCTATCACTTGCTGCATATGTCCCAAATGCTGTCGTGGCCCTCATGTCATAGACGGCACAGCCTGGGAGGAGACGGGCAAACATGGCCTGAATGTCACAGGGTTCTTCCAGGGGACAGAGTGGCATTAGCTTTATGGGCGTCCGAACTGCAGAGTGCAATGCCACGCAGATATATCCGAGTTGGGTCTGTACCATCAAGGCCGGGGACCGGGTTAGCGTAGAGTTTCTCCCGAGCTCCCAAACACAGCCTCTTAGGGCATCACACTAAAGCGACCAGACTGCTTTCAGGACCCGAGCCAGGTCATTCAGACCTATACACCTGACCCTTAGTGGGAGCTGCAAGGGAAAACAGTGGAAGTCTTACACCAGCTCCTGTACTATGAGCAGAGAGAGGTAGTTAGCCATGCAAGTCTGAAGTCAGAGAGGGTAGACATGCAGTTTGTAGATGAACTAAATCAGAGATGCATATACTTCCATGAGCCCAAGCTCACATCATCAGATGTTGTCATCAGTCCTGTACTGCAAACACTCTTTCCTGGGCCTCCAGGACAATATACTCAGCCAGAGGCTGCAGCAGAGGCTGTAGGATTCTGGTTAAATCTGGCTGAACATTTGGAAAAGGCTGAGGAGCGAATATGAAGACAGTGGCATTCTCCAAAGAGCAGGACAATGCAATGTGTGCAATAGTTCAATCTCATAACAGGTTGCAACCTGCCTTGCCTAGGATTCCCTGATCTGCAGGGTGTGTTTTCCACTGAATGACACCAAACTCCTGTAAAACAGATCACTTCTTCCTTAAGGTGTCAAGGACTTCTGAGACGCCGGGGGCCAAATTGTATAATTACAGCAGTGCAAATCCAGAGCACCTCCAAGCAGGGGAGTGTCAATTAGAGTAGGATTTTATCCTTGTACACTCAAACAGAAGATTTAATTAGAGGAACCCTGGATCCACTCTGGTTTAAGCCACAACAAAATTTGGTCCGCAATTAGAAAACAGGACTTCATCAGGATGAGGACGCCAACCCCCGACTCACTGCAAAACTCTCAGCTACCTTGATTTTCTCACATTAGCATTCAAGCTTATTAAATTGTTACATTAGCTCAATAAAAGCAAGTGCTAATGCAATAAAGTAAAAAAACTTTACTGCACTAACCAATACAAGGGAAGCTGCAACGTGCCTAGCCAAGTCAACAGCAAAGACTTAGCCAGGAAGAGTTACTAACAATAGGATGCCATTGTGATAGGTTAAAACGTTGTAAAAATAAAATTGTATCCCAGACGGGATGCCACAAAACATGTCATGGCCTTTGAAAAGGAAGGAAGGTTTCAGCCCTGTTTGGAAAATTCTAGCTACTATTTCAGGGCTTGATCCTGCAAACCTGGAGGTGCGTGAGTATTTTACTTCCCATCAGCTTCAGTGGGACTTGACACCTGTTCTCACCTTAGGATCTGGCCCACAACGCTTATATTTCAGTGCAATGCACTGTGTATAACTGCCTGCGATATCACTGCTTTCCAGTTTGCAGTTCAGAGTATGATCTTACACTATCAAGACTTATGAGGCAGGGCTGAAAGCACCAGGGGTATTTAGTCTGGAGAAGAGAAGACGGAGGGGGATTTGATAACCGTCTTCAAATACATGAAGGGCAATTACAAAGAAGATGGAGATGGACTTTTCTTCGTAGCTGTGTGGGAAAGGACTAGGAGCAACAGCCTCAAGCTTCGGCAGGAGAAATTTTGGTTGGAGATTATGGAAAACTTTCTGAATACCAGGGTGGTCAAGCATTGGAACAGGCTAGAGAAATTGTGGGGTCTCCATCCTTGGAAGTTTTCAAGAACAGGCTGGACAGACAATCAGCTTTGATGGTTTAGTTAGGGATGATCTTGCCTCATGCCAGGGGCTAGATGACATGGTGAAGTCCCCTCCAGCCCTACTTTCCTACGAGTATACCATGTTCCACAGGAGAGACGTCTATGGAAAGGCAGTGAAGTAAAGTTCCTTCCCTGTGTGCTTATGTGCTTGCAGGATCAGACCCTTGGTAGACAATACAGTGATAAAACATTGGAAAAATGGTGGGAGTGGAGACAGCATAAGGACATTAAAAAGAAGATTTGTATGGGTGTATATACATGTGTACACACACAAACCTGAAGCGCTCGAAGGATTACCACAGTTCAAAGTTATGATGGATTTGGACAATGAGCCTAGATCAGACGATTTGCAGGAAGCCATTAAATTGATTCCTGGGAACAAGGCATCCGGCAACGACTGTTTGCCCGCTAAAACATACAAACACGCCAACAACAAATTACTTGGAAAGCTCCATGATGTTTTCTGTTGGAAA